AAAAGAAAAGAGAATTAACACAGAAGGAAAGAGAATTAAGACAAAAGGAATCTCTTTGCATTTCTGAGAACCTCGCCAAATCGGCCTACATTTAATTACTTCCCCACTTTGTATTTGTAAAAGGGATAACTTTTTTTCTTTTCATTTGGTTTCACGCTCACGTGTTCCATCGCCCTCGCTTGCTGTTTCTTACGTGAACCATAGTTGATGTCATCTGTCTTTCATGGCTCAGCCTCCCAATTTCAAGAGAAGGTCCTACCTCTCCCTGACTGGAGATCCGGCCTGCCAGAGGATCTCCTCGAGTCCATCAGACAGCGTCTCGCGTCAGGCCACGACGCGGCGTCCTTCCGATCTGCTTGCTCCACATGGCGCGCCGCCGTCCCGTTCGCGACCTTCGGGCCGCTCCTGCTGCTCCCGTTCGACCTCGACTCGGACCGCGTCGGCTTCTATTGCATCCCGGAGATGAAAGTTTTGTCCAAGACGCTGCCCGACGTGCGCGGCAAGGTGGCGTGCGGCTCCTCGTGTGGGTGGTTGGCGCTCATGGATGAGGCGGCGTCCGTGATGCTGCTGAATCCATTCGTCGGTGTCTGTGCCCCCCACGTTGAGCTCCCGCCAGCAGGCGAATACGTCGCGGTGGCGTCCTCATCGGAACACGTGTAGGGTCCACGGTCGATGGGTCCTCCATCCCACCAACGACTATGGGGACGCGGATGCCGCAGGCAGAGTCATCAAGCTAGAAGACATGAGGGACATGTTCTTCCGTGAGATCGTGGTCTCGGCGCCGTCTGACGCCGCTGGCCGTGAGTGCGTGGCCATGGCCATGCTTGGGCGCTCCACGGAGGTCGCGTTCTGTCGGGTTGGAGTCGACAGCGCATGAACGCTGCTCGACACCAAACTAGAGTTCTCCGTGGGGTCCATCGTCCACTGCCAAGACAAGTTCTTGGCGATCGACTGCACTGGAGAATTTTCCGTCTGCAGCAGCAACGCCGTCGACGCTACTCCAACCGCGACGCTGCTGCCATCGCTGTCGCCACCGCAGCAACTCGAATCAAACGGTGGGCTGCACATTGTGGGTGCCATGGTGAGCATGTTCCACAAGACCCAGAGCTTCACCTACAGCAGCGCGATCTACAAGTGCAACCTCCACGACCGTACGTTGGAGTGGTCCAGGGTGAGGGACATCGGTGATCAGACACTGTTCGTGTCTAAACATTTCAATGAAAGCTTCAGTGAAACAAGTGTATCCAAGTACAAGGAGAACAAAATCTACATGTCTAAGCCATTGTATGAGGATCTATACGACTTGGTCCATCAACCGGAGATCGTTGATATTGCTACCGGCGCATCCGAAGTGAAGCCCGTCCAGGAAAAGATGCGGGGTTCCGAGGCTATAGGTTGGATTCGACCCAATCTCTGGAAGCTTTAGAGTTTGTGAGCCTGCGACGCCGCGCACTCCGTGACTGTGTTAAATTCATAAACTTTGCTTTTTGATTAAATGTCACTTTAACGTTGTTATTTAATTTAACAGTGTTGTTATCTTATCGTGCGATCCTTGTGTTTTTAAATATAAATTGTTAGTTATTCCGTAGCAATGCACGGACACGTTACCTAGTAATTAAGAGAAGCAATAAAAGGAGCTTGGCTGTGGCCCATGGGCCGTGGCGAGCGGACGAGGTCGCGAATTCCGTGGACCTCAGGGGATGAGCACGTCGAGGTCCAGCTGCTGCTTCACGAGCAGCATCATTTGCAGCGATCATGGTCTAGGGACTAACCGAAGAAACGCATGCAAATCTCGAAAGATTCAGTCAAAAAAGGAGCTTTGCGCGAGGTGTCGACTGGTGCGAGAGCGATGATGATGAGGTTACGGCCACACCCGTGCGCGCGTCTACGCGGCCTTTTCGTGTCCGAGGAGATTAGACTCATCTCTTTGAGCTCTCATCGTCTCACTGGGCGACAGGCTCTCTCAGCACAGCTCAGGACCGACGAGGAGCGCACATATACTGCGTCGGACGTACCCGTGCGGCGTGGCCCGTGGCCGGTGGTTCTCGCCACCCATGCCACATCCAGCCCCACCACCCCAGCGCTAGGGCCTCTGAGTCTCTGACAGGTTTACCCCAGCGACGTACGGCTCCACCGTCAGCCACCGTGTGCGCCCGCGTACACCTGATTGGACAAGTCACTGGCAGCGTTTGGTGCGCTCCGCTCCGCCCCGCCCCCGCGCCGTGGCAGCCAGGCACGTGCGCCTGTCCTCCGGGGACCACCTGGGGAAGCGCGTCTCCAGCCGTTGGATTGGGAGGCGCCGGCGCGGGCCCAGAGGGCTGTCGTCGCCGGGTACGGCCGGAATCTGCCGTTAGATGCCTCCTCTCTCCCGTGCTTTGCCGATTTGAGGGAACACGATTGCGTAATTGCGTTGCGTCGCGCAGGGTTCCGTGCGCACTGCCAGTAGCCAGTAGCCAGTAGCCTAGCCTCGGCCAGAGCCTGTCACGCGCGCCACCTGGTGGCGTTTGACCGGGAGGATGGACCAGGTGGGCGGAAACCACCGGTTTCATTGCAGAATTGATTGGCCAACGACACCACGCTACATTTACGTCTGCACGTAACGGCAGCAGGGCCTCTATGTTTTGGCCTTTGGGGGACAGGAATTTCGCCAACCCGGAAAACGAACGATCGATTCCAATTGGATGGTGTGCGTTGTCTGTACACGATTTACCAATTTGCCTGATGTTGAAACGTGAAATTGGAACAGGACGCGACAAAAAAAAAAGAAAGAGCGAGAAGAGAAAAGAAAATTAGTACCACTACATTCAGATGCATATATTTTGCAGGATTGCAGCCTTTATTTCTTCAAAAAAAAATTGCAGAAGGATTTGTACATGCTACACACAAATGATTTTAAGGTGAAGCAACACTAATCTCTTTTAAGGCATCCTCTAGAAAAAAGAAACGTATGGCACCTCTTCTTTTTTTCTTTACAGAGGTGCTATTCTTGGTGTGTCCGACAATGTCTAACTGTTAATGCTCTTGACTCCTTGCGAACAGTACTTTCTCTGTCCTACTAGACCTTTACAGAGTTATTCTAGTCTTCTGTAGTTATTCTAAATTATCTGTTATTCTCAAGCAATATAAATAACATACGAGCCAGACGGAGTGTATACGAAAATGCGGACAGTAGTATACGGCAATAAATTCTCGCTCTCAGCCTCCGTCGTCTACGTACACAGAGAACTTGCACGCAGGAGTAAATACCACGGCCGGTCCGTTGCTCCGGGCTCCACTGGGCCGGTGGGTGGGGCTTCTTCCCCCGTTGCCGCACGTGAGAGGCGGATAGAGAAACGGGACGGGGCAATAATGAGGCGGGGGCGCGTACGCATGGAACCGTGGGGCCTCCCCCCGTTGCACTTTGATGGCGAGACCGGGGGTGGGGGGGCTCGGTCCATGGATCGCTTCGCTCTCGCGTGCGTGTGACCACTGGCTCCCGGACTCGAGTTGTGGTTTGGGTTGGGTTGGTTCATTGGTTGGATCGGACGGATGTGCCCTCCCTGTCCCCCCGTTACGGTTCCGCTTTTTTGGGCAGCGAATCACACATCGCGGTTTCCGCCCCGTGATTACTCTCCGGCGCGCGTCTCGCTCGCTGATCTTATCGTTCTTATTATTGCGGAATCCTACTACTACTAGTAGGCACATTGTTCCTGTGGGCTGGGGACCAGAGAATCGCTCTACGTGGGCCGTGGAGGATCGATGGGCATGTGGGCTGCCATCTGCGGGCTGGGACTCTGGCTTTATCATGGGCTTAGCCAGCGGATGCTGGCCGCGGATTTCTATTCCCAAAAAAAAAAAGTAGTTCGAGTTTTCAGCCTGGGACAATTTGGATTGTTTGACCCGCCTAACGCAACCAAGAGCGGACGAGCCGTGGGCTTGTTTTTTTTTTTTAGCAAATTACTACCTCCGTCCTAAAAGAATGCAATTCTAGCAGCACAGTGTCATATTTTAGTACCTTAAGTTTAACTAATTATAGATAAAAAAATATTCATATTTATGATACCAAATAAATACCATCATATTAATTACAAAATGTATTTTCATAATAAATTAATTTAAAGACATAACTGTGAATATTATTCACTAAAAACTTAGTGAAACATGAAGCATTTTTCGTGGCACGCAATCTATAGTTGCATTCTTTTCGGGACGGAGATAGTATCAGACTAGACTAGATTTTTCTTGCTACTGTGTACTGTACCGTCGTACCGATCGTTTATATATAGAAATAATATAAAGCTCTGGATGTCGTTAGGAAAAGGAAATCAAGGAGTAGTCCCAGACCGGAAGATGGAGAAATGAAAAGGGGCAGCAGGACAAGTAACATGTTTACCCGGTAGCAGACCGATGACCAAACTAGTTGGGGATCCATGAACCGGAACCAACTGTTTCAGCGTGCGGGCAGCAACGCAGACGTCTCGCTTCTTTGATGCCACCACTCTAGAAATCAATTTAAATCTGGGATGGAGGAAGTAGTGTTATTTTGGCACGGGCGCAACTCACACACGGCCACACGGGGAACCCATGTCATGGACACGCCCCAGCGTCGCGTCCAGTTGACTTGCCGATTGGCAGTCCAGCTCAGACAGCGTGCGTTATTTGAATACTATACTGTGCGTACTCCAACCTCACGTGGTCGAAAACACCGATTCAAATTCGGCTGGTGCCGACCCTGATGGACGCACTCAAAACTCGGACAGCCCGCCTCGGCAAATCTTGCGGCGGAAAACGGGTGAAACTACCGGACCGGAACCGGACACGACAGTCAGCAGAGGCTGGCGAGCCAAAGTCAGATTGCCGCTGCCGCCCCTCTATATAAACCGACGCGCGCGTGTGCCGGCCGCTGCATCGATCGGCAACCAAAACATCGAGGAACCTCCGGCCGGTCACGTTACTCGTTACGTATATAGCGCGTTGGTTCCTGCAGCGTTTGTGGCTATTTCGCGACTGCCAAAACCACCATGAGGCCACAAGCTCTTGCTCTTGCTCTCGCATCGTTCCTGGCGGCCGCGCTGCTGTGCCTGTGCGCGGCGGCGGCGGCTGCCTCGCCCGTGTCGGTCGCCGGCAAGTTCGCCATGGAAGGTCTGTGTGCATCCGGCTTTTATCGTTAAAAAAAAGATCTGTGTTTAAATGGCTTATATCGTTTAATCTGTGTGCCGCGGTTGTGCTTGTTGAGGACTTGTTGGAGTACTGATCGACCTAGTGGATTTTGGTGTCTGATGTTCTTTTTTTTTCATTTCGCAGGAATGGGAATGGTCGTCGACCAAGGGATAGACCACTTCCTCGTCCTCGCAGCGGTCTTCGTCATGTGCCTCTTCCGCTGATTGTCCGGCAAGCAACGGTGTCTGCCCCCTGATTAATTTCATCAGTTCGTGTATTCTTTGATTATATTGGAGAGAGTTTGCCGGTGCTGTACAAATGCTAATAATAATGTCACAAAATAAGGTGATCACTGAATATGTGATCATCCCTTAGTGTTCACCGAATATGAAGGGCTTGAAATAAAACTACTTATCACACACGTGGTGCTCGGTCTAGCCATTCCTGTGTTTTCCCTCAACTCTTAGCAATTCCTGTGCATACTGCAAAGCGCATATATGTGAGTATTCGGTGGGCTTTAAACTCTTCCACGCCTCGCACCGCCGCACGATTAACTTGGAGCATTCGTAGTCATACCTGGCCTGGGCTAGGCTCTTATGACCTGTACCATGTATGGGAAAGTATTTGGGCCAAGGCCCTCTAAGAGATGAAAATATCTGGGCCAAGTAAATACTGTTTCAATCAGCCCAACAATCAACGGCACGTGGGTTAAAGCACATTTTATTTCCTACCTTTTCCTTTTTTTTGGACAATAATCATTTAGATAAAAATCCGAGTACAACAACCATTCGGCACCTTCGTGATGGCTGACTGGCGAAAGCTGATGTTAGCAATCGGGAAGAACAAAGAGGCTTGGGGAAGGGGAAGAAGACGAGCATGGGTGAGGACATGATTTGATTCAGAGTTCAGTGTTTACAAAATTGTTCAAGTCCTCTCTCACTCATCGGGATACATATAATCTATTTCACCCACTCTGGGCCACATGTTCTCGTGTTGGGCCGAAGCATCCTCTTGGGTTACATCGCGTCCGGTTGGGCTTCTTCTTCAGAGTTGTTGACAGCTGAGTTCACGCCAGATAGAGAACCACTCGGTAACATAAGTAAGGGCTGACTATTAACTAGGCACCAAAATACTACTCCATGCATCTTACAAGGGATGACCAGTGAGCAGCGAACCCCTCCAGGTTCACTATGGTCCTGTTTAGTAGTGCTTCTGCCCAGCTTCACAAATCTGTTTTAGCTTCTCGTACCAAAAGGGTTCTGATGAAACAGCTTCTCCCTAAAAATTTGTTGGCGGATGGTCATGGTCTCGAGAGTTGACGGCGCGTGAGTAGGCAGCGTCTACAGGAACGGGCGGTCAACTTGGCGCTCGCGATGATGCACGAGGGAGGGGGCCATGCCATCGAGTGGAGTGGATAGGAAAGCGGGCGATGCGGTAGGATGAGAAGCCTGCGAGCGACGGGCCGACGACGATCTCTCGCTAAGTGTCCATGCTGATCGCTGAAGACACGAGGACAACGGCCAGATGGGAACTTCACTCAGGATCCGACGGTGGAGATTTCCAGACGACATGGCCCAATAATATTCCAGAGCTTGGCTCTGATTTAGAATTATAGAGACTAGAAAACTCAAGGCCCGCCGCGCCATCTTTGATATCCCCTGTGGTTATTTTAGTGTTGCACATGAATATTTAAGTGCATAGAAGCTGAAAATTGATCATGATGTTATCCAGCTAGAATTTTTGCAGTTTCAGATTTAGCTTAGGAATAGGATACATTAATAGATAATAGATGGCACACGTGCATTTCTGCGGGAGAAATCAAGAGTCACAATTATCATATTTGTTGAACTGCAAATATTTTCATAGATATTTACAGATTAACCAATCAGAAGTAACACTAAAACAGAATATGCACTCCCATGATTCCATCACATTGGTATGTTTACTACAATACCAATGTTTTTTTGAGCTTGTAATATTTCTCTGTAAATAAACAGGATTCTTTATTGGAATTTCCCTTTGTGGACCTATAAGTGGGTTTTCAACTTTTCATCTTTTGTTGGCTCTATGAAATCAATGTTTTTTTTATAGATCAATGAAGATATCATAAGCACAGGAAGGTAAAATAATTCACTAATTCAGAGGAGCACAAATGGCCTTACAAAATAACTCCTACAGTCTACTGCACAGATAGAAAATATCAAATCAGATAAACATTCAAAATCAGAGACGGTACTATGAATCGGTAAGTCTGACAAAGCTGTCTTGCAAGCCTGCCAAAAAGTTCAGTGCTCATGAATGGTAAATTCTAGTAATTCGTAACCAATCTTATACCTATAGCATCAGCGGATTAACTGGAGTTCAGTTCTCATGATTCATTCTTGTTCAACATGCTGCCCCGCCGTCCGCACAATGCGACTATCTCTCCTCTTGCCAGCATTGCATCGAACACATGGTGGGCGTCGACGCGTCGTCCATCTCGAGCTCAAAGTCGAAATCTGGTTTGACGTCACCACCGGCCCTGATCTCGTGCTTCGCTTACGGTTTGACTGCCGGCGGTAGGCGAGCGCCCTCGCCAGGTTCTAGGGAGCCGCCATCGCGCCCCGTGGCCGGGGGCCGAGGCCATCGTGCCTGGAGGCGCCACCGCGCCTGAGCCGGCTGCCTCACCAGCTCACCGGTGGAAGGGACCCGTGCCGTTGTCATACTGCGCCAAGGAACTCGCGCCGGGACTTGCGGGCGGTCGCTCCCATGCCTTGGCCGCGAGCCGCCGCGGCGAGGGCCCGCCACCAGATCCTGTTAGAATTGATCTGATCCGTCTTGACCCAACGGTCGAGACGGACCCCTTGACCGCGTCCTGATCGGGGACGTCCAGCCATCTACTGACTGGTGGGCCCCCGTCGCACAGTGCCTATAAAGAGGAGGTGGGGCAAACGGCTTAGGGAATGAGGTTCACCGCCGCCACAGCCCCACTGTTCTAACCCTAATCCGATCCAGAGGGTGGCACTGCCAGCGGCGGGAAGCGCCACTGCCTCCACCACCGCCGGTCTCCACAGCTACACCAAACGTCGCTGCCCTAGCGCAGATCATCACCGGCGAACCAGCGAAGGCAGGGAGGTCCTCCGACGGTCAGATGCTCCTACATCTCCCTCTCTCTCTCTCTCAGTCTCCTACTCCCGAAGCAAACTCTAGATCTATGTGTTCGAATGGAAGTCAAAATACCCACTGATCTACTCCTAGTCGATCCAAAAGAGTTTACATTGGTATCAAAGCCAATTCCCTAGGCGTGTGATCTAGATCGGGGCAAAGAAAAGAAGAAAGAAAAGAAAGAGAAACGAACTTCGGTTCAGAGAAAATGTAACCCTAACCCTAAAGAAATTGGACGGTCCGGGGAAGTCTTACCAGGGCTTCCCCGCTGCTGTCACTACCGCCTCACGTGGGATGGGGCACCCGCCGCCGGCTTGCTGACGTGCGGTTAGAGAATCAAAAGAATAGAAAAGAAAAGAACGGATTAAATCCTTTCGGATCTGAGCATACAGACTAGGGTTTTCACTAACCCTAACCCTAACTGGGTGAAGATGGAAACAGAGGGCTCGGATTCAAGAAAACGATGAGATCCGAACCCTAACCCGCTACAGACTCGGGGAAGAAGAAGAAAAGGGTGAATCCCTAACCCGAAACCCTAACCCTAACTCGATCCCCATCCCAATCGGTCAAAACCGAGAAGACCAAGCAAGATCCAAACAAGCAGAAATAGGGAAAGGGAAAAGCAAGGCCGGTGGCTTACCTCACCGCTACCATCTCCGCCGTCGTGCGAGAAAGACCGGACCGCGCCGGTGTTCGTCGCCGAGATACATCCGCGCGGGTACGGGTACAGGGCGCCAACACGGAGCCGCTTGACGGCGGCGCGCTCTCCCGATGGGGAGCGCGCTCACCGGCAAGAGGGCCCGCGGTGGCGCCGTCTTCGTTGTCTCCTCCGGCGCGGCTCGTTGTCGCTCGAGATGCGTCGCGCTGCTGAGAGAGAGAGACGCGCGAGAGAGAAAGGGAGAAAGAAATGAGGCTAGGGTTCTGGGGTTGCCGGCCGCGACGTCGGATTTTTGTTCGGGCGAAGAGGCCGGGCGACCGTCGGATGAGCGCGGACGGTGGAGATGAAGCGGGCCACTCATCGGCCCAGGCGGGCGAGCACGCCGTGGCGCTTTGCCGGCCCAGGCCCACGTTGCGGCCTGGGTGGCTGCGCGCGCGCTTGCCGAGTTGGGCCGGGCCATTTTGATGGTTGGGCCACAGCGCAGTTAAAGTTTAAGCCATTTTCTTTTTCTAATTTTTCCAGTGATAAATGGCTCAAAGAAAATTGGAAAAGAGAATTTGCCTGTGAGTAAAATTCAACAATTATGTTCATAGTTCCGCTGCAAAGTTAAAGGTTTATTATCTTCTAATTGAAGAGCAGTTATAGTTATTCAGTAAATGATGAAAAGTTTATCCTCCAGTTAAAATTGGAACCAACTAGAAAAAATTTTAATTGGAGGAATATTCGGTTGATAGTTAAGATAAATTATAATATTGTTATTTTCTGACCAACGTTGATGATAACAATATTATAAGTTTATTTATGAGTTTAAGTTTAAAGTTAAATTATGGTATTATTATTTTTTGACCAACGTTGGTGATAACAATATTATAATTTTATGAGTTTTATGATTAAAGTTTAAATCTCTGATGAATTTTGCATCAAAGTGACCAATTTTCATAGAATAGATAAAGATCAAGGAATGCTCTTAAACTAGATAAATGTATTTTCATGTTTCCGCTGCAATGAAGTTGATTGTCTTCTAATTAAATTCGAACCAACGGGAGAATTTAATTTTGAGGAGCAGTTCTATGTTTTCAAGATTATTGAATTTCTATACGTTAATTCTATTTCTGCCCAACGGTGATGTGGAATTAATGTAGAAGAATGATGTTTTATTCTATTTCTGCCCAACGGTGATATAGAATAGAACATAAAGTTTTCAAAGTTTAATGAGCATTATTGTTGAATATTTTTCAGACAAAAGACCTCCAAGCTTTCATTCTTGAAGGCAGAAAGAGAAATGAGCTGGGTACTTGTGACTCAGATGATGAAATGCCTAAGGGCAAGTTATGTATGAAAGAATGTCATTGGTTAAGGGACTGTGTTCTCTTTAAAGAATGGCTTCAAAAGAAAAGAATTCTAGAATATTGATCCAAGAAA